CATTGTGCGAACATCAAAGAGTACACTTACAAAAACCTAGATGGCAGATACTACTGTATACCTAGGCTACATGGTATAGCGTATTGTTCCTAGGCTACAAACCTGTATCTCATGCTACTGCACTAAGTACTATAAGCAATCATCACACAATGGTAAATATTTGTATATCTAAATATGGAAAAGATGCAGCAAAAATACATTATTATAATCTTATGGGACCACCATCATATATGCAGTCCATCATTGACTGAAATGCCACTACACAGTGGATGACTGCATTTTATTTTTTTCCATTTACAAACTTAGAGACAACCAAGTATTAATTTCAAGTTAATCATTATCAACTAGTCTATGAACTACTTAAAGACAGCATCTATAACCTGGTCATCCTCCCATCTATTGCATATTAAGTATACAGAGCATATTGAGCATAAAGAATCAATATACAAAGGTTTCTACCAGTCTATGAAATGTTCATAATGTAATTTTCTGTTTATAAGACACATATATTCCTCTGAGTTCTGCAGGTATGGATGAGTAAATTTCTAACAGGCTGCCCATCTATAAATATCAATTGTAAACTCCTAAACTCAGAGCAAAATGTAAAAGTTAACTATCCAAAGCCTTGAAGAATGGTTGAAAACAGGCAGATTCTGAAAGAAGTTATGACTTCAGAAAAGGAAATACCCTGAAGCAAATTTACTAATAAAATCTCAAATATTGTTTGGCCTTAGTGGCAGAGATTGAGAACACCACAGTGTTGAAATGTGAGGGAGGAATCCTAGAAAAGACAGAGTTGCAGATCACCAAATATTATGTATGAAATCTTCCAAAATCTCTGGCTTGCCCCTGAATTGCATGCCAAAAATTAAAGACAAAACCAAACTAAGGTAAGAAATGAACTGAGACTTGAACTCCTACCCAATAGACACAGTTTATACCCTGAATCCAACCAAGTTAGTTAGCTACTAAAACAAAAATATCAACATTCTTCTGAAGAATGTAACAGAATCCAAGATTTCCAGAATGTACATTCACAATAGAGAGCATACAATCCAAAATTACTTAAAATGCAAAGGACTGAAGCAATATGACTCTTCATCAATATAAGACTCCCAATGCAGAATAAATCTCAGATGGCCAAGACTTAGAAGACTTAGAAATTAGAAGACAGAGATGTTCAAGGACCTATTTAAGTGCACTGAGTAACACAGAGGAAAATAACACTTGCAATGAATTAAAAAATAGAACATCCCAACAAAGAAAAAAATATTTTTATATACATACATGTATATATGATTCAAATGTAAATTCTGAAACAGATAATTATGATTCTTGATATAAAAAATTTACCTGGTGGGGTTAATAGCAAAATGAAGACAGATAGAAATCAATGAGTTTAAGATACAGCAGTAAAAGTTATAAAATCTGAAGGACAGAAAAAAAAGAAAACAGAGCCACAGAAAACTTTGTAAGAGAGACAAAAGGCTGAACATACATGTAACTGAAATCTAAAAAGAATGAGGAGAAAGGCTCAGAAAAATAATTGAAGTAGTAACTAAAATATTATAAAATGTACAAATCCTTTTAAAAACAAATTTTCACAAAAGGTATCTAGAAAATCTGTCTAGTGTCATATCAAAGATATTGAATTGATCATCAAAGTCCAGGCCCAGATTGCTTCATTGGTGAATTCTATCAAATATTTAGGAATAAATAACACCAATCTGATATATGTTGTCTGACAAAAAGAAAAAAAAATACTTCCCCAGTCATCTTATGAAACCAGGATAACACTGACACTAAAATATGACAAAAATATTAATTTTTTAAAATATACAGGTCAGGCTGGGCGTGGTGGCTCATGCCTGTAATTCCAGCACTTTGGGAGGCAGAGGTGGGCAAAACACATGAGGCCAGCCTGGCCAACAGGGCGAAACCTCATCTCTACTAAAAATACAAATATGAGCCAGGCATGGTGATGCATGTCTGTAATCCCAGCTACTTAGAAGGCTGAGGTATGAGAATCACTTGAACCCAGGACATAGAGGTTGCAGTGAGTCAAGATTGCACGAAAGCACTCCAATCTGGGCAACAGAGTGGGATTCTGTCTCAAATTAAAAAAAAAAAAAAAAAAGGTACAGGTCAGTATCACTCATTACACTCATTAACATAAGATGTGACTGAATCCAGCAATATATAAACCAGATAATATGTCACTATCAAGTAGGGAATACAAAGAAGGATTTAGTTTTAAAAATCAATCATTAAAATCTACCATATAAACAGTATAGAGAAACACTTTATATTTATTTCAATAGATGTAGAAAGAGCATTCAAAAAGATTTACTAGCAATTCAGGATCAGAACTTCCTGTAAAACTAAAGTAGAAGGTAACTTCCTCTGCCTAGCAAATAACAAACTACCCCCAAAAAATCTATAACTAATATAGTTCTTAATGCTAAAATAACTGCATGCTTTGCTCCTTGACTAGACACAGGAATAACTCCTATTCTCCTCACTTGTCTTCAGCATTATACTGGAGATATTAGCCAAAATATTGACAGTAAAATAATAAGACGGATGGATAGAAGCTAGAAAGGGAGAAGTAAACTGTTTCAGCAAACGATACAATTATATGCATGACAAATCCTAAGAAATCGACAAAACAACTTACTAGAATAGGTGAATTTAAATTTAGCAAGTTAGCAGAAGAAGAGGTTAATATTCAAAATTTTAGGAAAAATATTAGAAAATACAAATTTTAAAATATTAAATTTATGATAGTGTTAAAAACCACAAAATATTTAGGAATAATTTTAACAAAAGATGTACAAAACTCCTATCTTGAAAAGTATAAAATACTGTTGATAGAAATTAAATGAAGACTCAATATTGTTAAGATGTCAAATCTCCCACAAATTGCTCAACAGATGCAATGCAACTGCAATTCTAATCGCAGCAGATGGTGTTGTAGTAATTAACAAAGAAATTCTTTAATTTATATGTAATTGTAAAGGATCTAAAATATCTAAGCAGTCCTGAAAAAGGAGAAAAAAGGCAGAGGAACTACATTACCTAAATTCATGTTTCATTATGTAAAAACCTACAGTAATCGAGACAGTGTGGTACTGGCATAAGGATCCATAAATAGAATAAAAGTAGTGACCTGAAAGCTTAGAAATATACCCCCACCTACATGCTCACCTGATTTTCTCATCAAAGGCACCAAAACAATCAGTGGAAGGAAACATCTTTCAAAAAATAGTGCAAGAAAAACCAGATAACCATATGGGAAAAAAGATAAACTTGTACCTCTACCTCATACCATATATAAAAATTCGCTTGAGATGTATCATAGACCTAAAAGTAAAAGCTAAAGTAACACTCTGGGAGAAAATACAGAAGAATATCTTATAACTTACGAAGAACTCTAACATTTCCTTGAGATTGGCAAAGATTTCTTAGTTCATAGAAGGCAATGACCATAAAAGAAAAACCCGATGTCATCAAAATTAAACATTTCTAGGAAAAATAACAGACTGATCCAAATATTTGCAAACCATGTATCTAACAAAATATGCATAGTCAGGATATATAAAGCTCTCACAACTTAATGATAAAAAGACATGCAGCCCATTTAGAAACAGGAAAAGACACAACAATAGAAGATACATGAAGAGCCAATAAGGATATAAAAAACTGCACAAAATCATTAATCATAAGGAAAATGCAACTTCATACCACAGGAAGATACCAATATACCATGAAAATGGCTAAAATAAAGAAGGCTGACAGCACTAAATACTGATGAGGGTATGGAGCAACTGCAACACACACACATTATTTGTGGAAATGTTAAAAGGTAAAAGCGCACTTTGGAAAAAAGTATGGCAATTTCTTATAATACTAAATACACAACAATTTTCAATACTAGGTCTTTAATAAAGAGAAACACACATATCTGGTTATGAAACAACTTGTACAAATAGCAAAGACATGGAATCAACCCAAATAACTATCGATGACAGACTGGATAAAGAATATGTGGTACATATACACTATGGAATATTATGCAGCCATAAACAGGAATGAGATCATGTCCTTTGCAGGGACATGGATGGAGCTGGAAGCTATTATCTTCAGCAAACTAACACAGGAACAGAAAAGCAAACACCACATGTTCTCGCTTGTAAGTGGGAGCTGAAGAATGAGAACACATGGACACTGGGAGGGAACTACATACACTGGGGCTTGTGGTGGGGGCGGGGGAGGGAGAACATCAGGATAAATAGCTAATGCATGTGGGGCTTAATACCTAGGTAAATGGGCAAACCACCATGGCACATGTTTACCTGTGTAACAAACCTGCATATCCTGCACGTGTAACCCGGAACTTAAAACAAAATTTTTAAAAAAGAAAAGAAACAACTCGTACAAAACTGCTCACAGAAATTTAATTTATAATAACCAAAAAATTTAAAGTGGCCAGATACATGAATAAACAACAATGGTATAATCAGGTAACAAATTATTATTCATCAATAAAAAGAAATGAACTACTAATATTTACAAGAGTATGCAAGAATCATGTATATGAACGTTCAGAAGAAAGGAAAAATGGTAAAATATATACAGTGATATTTTTGAACATTTATGTGCCAAGCATTTAGCACAGATTATCTCATTTAATTTTATACCATTCAACCTCATACTACAAATGAGGAAAGTGAGGTGAAAAGAAGTTGAATAGGTTTCCCAAAGTCACATTGCTAGTCTGACTCAAAAGGATATATTTTCAGGAATCTGTAACTCATACTAAAGTTAAAGGGGAAATACAGAATGACTAAATTTACTGAGTCTTTAATTAACTTTAGAAGTGCGTGTGGGGGATGCTAAGAGAAAACATCTCTAGAAAATATCAAACAGAATATAAATTAAACATCCGCTCCCCTTCGATTCAGGTTAAAATACCTGCAGTGTAGACCTCACTGTCTTACCTTAGGGAACTGTTTCACAGGAATTAACACTTTCTGTCCCAGCTTCATGTTCTTATTAATCACCACATCAATGTACTTTTCTTCATCCTTGCCTTCTCCTTTTTGAAACTTTTCTATTTCTGTGGAGGCAAAAAGATAACCATGAAGTGTATGACTCAGAAATACAGGGGCTGGGTGTTCTGATCGGCTCTATTGTGGCAATGAAATCAACTACTACTGAAGTATGGACTATTGTGGCAACTGTTTTCAAGTACATTTCTTGTTTTATCAATGATTCTGTACATTCCCTGTTTTATCAATGATTCTGCATAAATGGAAAAAATGCAGGTATCATGGCTCTATAGGGTCAAACCTCAACTGCTCATACTAACAAAGGAGAACAACAGACCAGATAACAAAAACGAGTTACTTCAGGTCTTCTGGTTTCCTAGATAAAGGCTAAAATGAAGAAGAAAAGCTGTAAACGCATTCGCAGTTCAGTGTTACAAAGCACTGAAACCTCCCTATTTATCAATCTTGCCTGGTGTTTCAAGGCTTATAAAAACAAAAGCTGATTCTATGGTGGCATTAAACCCTAGACAACCTTCCAGCAGCCCACCTCCCAGTCAAATCTTCCCTCCTTGCATATGATATGTAACAACTATATGCTATGCGAATGTCTTTACTAAGGCTCTTCGCTCTACTTGTTTTGATGATTTCATCTTCATCTCCTTTCGAGACTTAACCACATTAAATCTCTTTTCCTGTGCAAGAGTTTCTTTCCTCAATGGGGTGGCAAGAATGGAAGAATCAATCACTCTCACCCTGATATTCCCAAAGCATTTTAAGTGCAACTCTACTACCACCCTTAGATAGAAAAAAAAAAAAAAAGTGCTATGTCTCCCATGAGAACATAAATTTCTCTTAGGTAAAATCTATTCACTAATAAACATCTTTAACTAAGCAAGTTCCAGATCCTAGAAAAGTTTAGCATAAAGTTTCATTTGCTTTATGGCCTATAGGATTTGGATGTACAGGAGATATAAAATAAGGTGCCTGGGTGACTGCTGAATGAATGAGTACATGAACTGTTACTTCCAAAGACCAACCAACAGACACCTAGGTTCAGAGAAGGGTAAATAGCAGCCTGGCGAAGGTAGCAAAAACAGCATCAGCTGGACAAAGGAATACACATATTTATCGATTTTGCTTGTCGAGCTAGGAACATTTAAGAATTTAATATGTGCCATCCCTGGAGAAGATACCTCACATTCATGACCTAATTCAATCCTCAAAACAGATGACAAAGAGGAGGTTCGAAGAGGTGACTTCACAATAAGTGGCAAAGGTAAGATTTACCCTCAGGTTTGTTTGACTCCAAAGACAAGTTGCCGGTGCAGTCTTTCCCATCATTTTTTATGCTATATCAGAAAAAAAGGTAAGAAAGATTTTTACCGCCTCTTGGGATAAATGAAGGACTTATTTAAAGCTGGAGGCTTCAGGCCTGGGGCTTCTGTCACTACTGAAGCAGCCAATGGGCTTCAAAATACCACTGAGGGGCTTTCACTCCATCATACCATGTGGCCTCCCATTTCTAACTAGATCATTGTCTATTAAACAAATATTCTGAATGAGCAATGAAGAATTATTACAATTTAAAGGACATTGAGTGGGGACATAAAAATTCTAAGATTCTCGTCTCGGATCTGCTAATAATTGTATTTGCAATTAGAAAAAAGTACATCAGTTAGGAAGCAGGTTCTTCACATTTAAAATGAGAAAAGGGTAAAATAGCCAACGATGTGGTTCTAAAGCCTTAGGATCTTGTGTGACTTACAAATGCTGACAAAGCCGCTCACTCCTTGATAAAGTTTAGTCACTAACAGCAAGTAAGGTGCATTCCTGAGTTCTGTGAGTCATTACAGCAAATTATCAAACCCAAGGAAGGATCCTTGAACCTCCGAATTTGTAGTCAGGTAGAAATCTGGGTAGCCTGGGCATGATATTGAGGGTAGCATCTTAAGTGGGGGCAGTCTTGTGAGATTAAGCCCTTGATCTGTGGGAGGAGGGGAGGCCTGATGCTAACTCCTGAGTTAGCTTCAGAATTGAATTATTGAATACACAGCTGGCATCAGAGAATTGGTTAGTGTCTGAAAGCACTATACAATAGGAATTAACAGTGATGAGGTGGGGGAGATGGAAGGAAGCAGGGTAGAAACTGAAGATAAGAAAGGATGGCAAATTATATCTTCAGCTTCCAATCAAAGCTTCCAAGAAGACATAAACGCTAAGTCACCAAATAAATGAACTCGTCATTTTGTCTGCTTTCTTGTACTACACTATGTTTTGATCCTGGAAAATTAATTTCAAGTGGAGTCTGTACTGGAAAAACATACAAAAATAGAAAAGCACTTTCAATTTTTATTGATTTTTTTCCTATAAAAATAATACATGCACATGGTAAAAATTTTAAAAAATATAACAGGATATAAAATTTTGTTAAGGCTTCTGTACCTCAACTCTAGAAATAATTATAATCAACTATTTGTATATGCGCTTTCAGAAATTTTCCATGAATAGAAGAGACACACGGTTTAAAAACCGTAGTACCAACGGTATGAATAAGCTACACGGGTTCTGTTTTCTTAAGAGCCGTAACTCTCACATCAGCTGCTCCAAGTATAACAATTCATGACTTCAGCTTTCATTATTAGAAGAAAATAAATCCTGTCTTTCATTATCTATTTATGCAATAATTGGAAATATCTTTGGCATAGTTAGAAAAGTCAACAAAATCAGGTACATTGAAACATCCTAAAAATTTTTTGTTTGTATGTGTATGTGTGTCAAAATAGATTCAACTGTCTTCTTTCTTTTCAAATAACAAAGAAGTTTAGGAATTGTTAAAAACTCACACCAGATGCACAATATTTTATCCCATAAATTCAGAATTCCACTGTTCTTAACATTTTGAAATAATAAATAAAATCTGTTATATTTAACATTTAGAAATAACAAATTTAATAACATATTTAATGTTATTAACATATTTAATGTTATTAATAACATATTTAACATTTTGAAATAACAAAATTATATAGGTACACTTTTAAAAATCAGGAATTATTTTATCATATATTACACTTTAAGATCATCTATGATTTTAAAAAGGAAAATGAAGGAAAATCTATATAAAATACCTAATTTTCTCTCTACATATACACAGCATCCTACAAATCTTAAGTCACTGGAATGTACTATTGCTATCTTAAACTTTGGATGATGTTGGAATATTTTACATTTAAGACTTAAAAAAATTTTTTTTAAGCCTGATGCCGTATCAGAAGCATAGAGGTTTGCAGTTACGGGGCCTAAAGCACCACACGACAATGCAAAAAGCCTTGAGCCCTACTGCTGGAGCCAAACACACCTGGTTTAAATCATGGCTGCTATATTTTCTCAGGTCCTTGTGCCTGCCAATATAAAATTCAAAACTGGTAAAACTTTTGTTGTTTTTAGTAGATGCTGTTCAATCAACAATTTGCATTTTCTACTTGAATGAGGATTATTACTAGCTTAATTTTTTTTAAATCCATAAATATACAAGGCACAAAAGTGGAGAACTGTACAAAATGACCTATGAAATCTTGAGACAGCTGTCTCAAGGATTTATGCTTGTCCCTACCTGTGAATTGCATATTAAAAAACCCCGGCTACCACCCCTCTCATCTTTCCCAAGGGAGGAAAGATGCTTGACATCTACCAAGATAGATGTGACCCTCTAGTTAACCAGAGCAAAGTGAGGCCACCAATAGAGAAAACCCAATCAGATTTTCAAGGACGAATGCATGGGGGATTTGACTTGCCCTAATCCCCAGATTACAATTGGTACCAAACAGCTTAATGTACCAATACCATCTCCTAGCTCAGAAATAATAAGCAAATGTGTGATTAAGGTTTTAGATAATATAGGGGATTAAAATGCTATCTTTTCAAATCATATAACCAAACTTCTCTCAGTGCAGAAATCTTGTTTTCAGTAATAACATCTATATTGTTTTTTGTTTATTTGTTTTGCTTTGGTCTAGTACAGAATTTCCTAAGCAATGGCCTGTTTCCTTTTTAATGTACCAGACATACTAAAGTCCACTAATCTTCTGAGAACAGCTAAATCATCTTTGGATTTAAATGAGTTAAGTTTCCAATATAAACATTTTAGTAATGTAAAATTTTTAAAGGAGCTTCATTTCTCTCACAGAATTAAACATACATAGATTGTTATTTTTCCTTTGTTCTACCAACTTCATTTCTAGAAATTCAACCTACATATATACTTAGATGTAAAATATTATACACAAAATTATCCACTACATCATTGTCTTTAATATTAAAACACTGGGAACCACGTAAATGTCTATCAGTAGGAGACTGGGTAAATAAGCTCATGCATACCCATAGAATAAAATGGCATGAGGCTACTGCACAAAGTGAGGAAACTTCATCGTCTCACAGTGAAAGATCGCTATCAAATGCACTGTTTACACCACACATAATATGTAAGAAAAAATGTTTAATTTACGTATATACACACAGGTAAATCTCCCTATTGATATACAGTTATATACCATGTAATAACATTACAGTCAACATATATGACAATGGTCCTGTAAGGGTATAATGAAGCTGAAAAACTTCTATTGTCTAATAATGGCTTAGCTGTGGTAGCCTCGCAGCACAAAGCATTAAATGTTTGTGGCAATGATGGTGTAAACAAACCTTCCGTGCTACCAGATGTGTAAAAGTGTGTAATAATGACCCAGACCTTCATACTCACCCACCACTCACCCACTGACTCACCCAAAGGCAACTTCCAGTTTCATAAGCTACAGTCATGATAGTGTCCTATGCAAGTATATCATTTTTTATCTTTTGTACTACATTTTTATTGTGCGTTTTCTATGTTCAGATAACACAAAATACTTGCTTTTGTGTTACAAATGCCTACAGTATTCAGCATGGCAACATGTACTTTGACTTTGCAACCTGCTGTCTAGGTTTATAGCGTAGCAGCAACAGGCTATATCACCTAGCCTAGGTGTACAACAGGCTGCACCTTCTAGGTGTGTTTAAGTGCACTCTGTGATGGTCCACAACAACAAAATCATCTAAGGATGCATTTCTCAGAACACACATCCCTGTGGTTAAGCAACAAAAGACTGTGTAAGAAACTAGCTATCTATTTGTCATGGAAGGAATAAAGTGGATAAGATACAGAAATACTTTTCACTCTATCTCTTTTTTGCATTGCTTTAAATTTCTGAAGGATGTGAATAGTTTACCCATCTAGAAAGGCATGCAGGGTCCAGCAAAGGAAAAGAAAAAGAGACTATATATGTAGAGGGTGACCCAATGGGGCTACAGACTGTACACAGGAAAGCAGCAAATTTGTGGTGACACAGCTGGAAGGGCCAAAGCAAATATCCATTCTGAGCTCACTTCTCCCTCATGCCAAGCTTCTGCTGGTGACCACCAGTGGATAGCTCTTAACCCATCTCAAAGCCAGAGGGTAAATATATCGATGATACAGGCCTTCTACCACGCATATCAGCCTTTGGGCACACAGCAGAGTAGGGAAGGGTAGAAAGAGGACCTGATGCGGCAAAAAACAAAACAAACAAATAAGCAAAAAAACCCTTCAACCCTACATCTTCAGCAAACACAAGGAAGCTTTTAGTACCTCCTTTACATACAAAAATATCCATCTAAGCTCACCACATACAAATTTACACAGCAAAATACTGAAAAACAAAATTATTTTAGAAGTCACTAATACCAGTAGAAATTAAATAATAATTATTACTTTGTTGATGATGACTCACCAAACACAGGGCTGTGTGTTTGACTTAAATTATTTCTTTCTCCTAACAAATATATGATCTGCCACCTGCATTAACAGTGAGATCCTGAGGACTGAAATGGTTAAGAAGTTTGCAAAGGTTGGAGAGCCAATAGATAGCAAAATCAGAATTCAAATCTAAATATATCTGACTTCAAGCTCATACCTTTTTAAAATTGTTATTTAAAAAAAACACACAAAAGGTAAATTCTTAACCATTTTTAAGTGTACTGTTCAGTCCATCCACACCGCTGTACTTTTCCATGTCACACAACGGAAACCCTATGCACATTAAACTACTCCCCACTTTTCCCTCTGCCTAGCCCTTGGTAACTGCCATTCTATTTTGTTTATATGAATGTGACTGCTTAGCTGTGTCATATAAGAGGAATCAGGCAGTATTTGTCTTTCCATGCTTGGCTTATTTCACTTAGCATAATGCCCTCAAGGTTCATCCACAGGGCAGCATGTGGCAGTATTTTCTTACTTTTTAAGGCGGAATAATATTCCACTGTAGGTACAGAA